ACGCAGTACAATTCTGGTCACCGTATTACAGAATGGATATAGAATCCCAAGAAAGAATTCAGAGGAGAATGACAAGCCTAATCCCGGGCATTAGGAACCTTGAGTACAGAGACAAGTTAAAGCATCTTAATTTGCACTCCCTCGAGAGACGTAGAGTGAGGGGGCGATATGATAGAGGTGTTTAATGGAAGCCAGGTCTAAACAAAGGTGTCATTACAAAAGTACTCAAACTATCCAACCAGGAGCGAACTCGTAACAATGGTTTTAAATTAGACAAATTTAGATTTGGGAGCAAAATAGGATGAGTGGAACAAGTTACCCAACATAGGTTGGGTGGATATATGAGCAATAGGGGTTGGGTGTAAATGGGACTGCCCAGTATGGGCCAATAGGCCCGCTGCAGTTTCCTCAATTCTTATGTTCTAATTATACACCTTAATTAAACACAACATAATCTACCCCCCCCCTCCCTAGGTAGCGTGAGGGTGTTTAATACATGTTGTATAATGGTCAGCGTGCTCGCCTCGCAAGCGAGCGGACCTGAGTTCGATTCCCGGGCAAGGTGAAACTATGGGCAAGTTTCTTTACGCCATTTGCCTGTCTACCCAGCAGTAATTGGCAGTAATTGGGAACCTGGATGTTAATCGATTTGCGGATCGTATTCCAGGGTAATGGTTAGCCAGTGCAGTTGGTGAGTTGTCCTGTCTTCTCGGACTATTCCTTGACACTGGGTCATGCAACTCGTTAACTTAGGGTGTGGTTATTGTGTTGGCGACAGCTTCTACAGTCTACACCTTAAACAAATTCACGCCTAGGTGGCCCTTGGGCCGGCCATCCTCGTTACACGAGGGGCAACCATTAATAGGGAGGAAATAAGCCGGGGGGGGGGGACTAAGCTTCACGTGATCCCATTGGTATTACGCACACCCAGCCTCAAGCGTGGTGGTGAAGTTGTGGACGTTGGCTGGCTTTAACACGAGAGTGGAGCATCGCATTTTGACAAAGAGTGAAAGGTCTCCCTCCTGGATTGTTGCCACACCCATCCACACTCTCACGGTCCAACCACAACACACGGCCCACATTACGTGTTTCCCCCCAACAAGCTGTTACATCACACGTCATGTCAACACTCCTTCACCACAGCAAATATCTGAACTACGTCACCCTCGTCACCACATCCACAGTAGTTCTACATGTCAACAGGTAATTATGGTTTAGGTGATTCTAACGATCGTAAATAACTACAGTAACCTAACAACAATAACTACCGTAGCCTAACAACAATAACTACAGTAGCCTAACAACAATAACTACCGTAGCCGAACAACAATAACTACAGTAGCCTAACAAAACTATGGGTGATCTACAAGTGCCCAAGAGCCCACAATTATTATTAACAGTACAATAATTTACCTTGTTCTACCTGTTATACCGACATTGTTATATACCATGATCTACTCACACAAAATATTGGCAATGGTCACAGTACTACAGTACATGTTGAAAGACGATACCGATTATAAGTTATTCAAGTATAACAAGGAAGACTATATAACAATGTAGGTATAACAAGGAGAAAACGCTGTCAAGGTGGCTTGTCACTTCACCAAGCCAGGTCAAGGTCATGGTGCACCAATCCGTCATAGTACTCTAAGTTAGTTCAAGGTCATGGTGCTCTAAGCCAGGTCAAGAACATGGTGACACCAAACCGTGTTAGGGAGACGCCTCGCCTCGCCTCGCCTTCACCAGTCAGACCAGGTCCTCTCCCACCACTGTTGACTCACCACTCCCCTCTCCTGCTCCTGTGAACGGACATTTCCCCAGGACAAAGCCCAGCGAGACTAATAACAAGACAAAATTTAACCAAACAATCTATCGGTATGTGTCACCAGGACCACCAGGTGGTGCACCAGCAGCAACAGCTACGCGTTACAAGAACAGCTAGGTGGTGCAACAGCTATGTGTTATCAGGACAACCAGGTGGTGCAGCGCAGCAGCAGCTGGGTGAGACGCGTGTGGGGGTGCAGGCCAAGGTCAGGTCTGGTGTAGGTTCTCACCTCTACACGGGTTTTGTTTGCTTGTTTGTGTGTGTGAGACACATACTTGCAACATGATAAGACGAGGAGCTGATGATGCATTATGCAATAACCTCCGACAGTTTTCGCTTCTTCACCTTCAATACTTTGAAGATATTAATTTTTAAATGTGGTTACAATACACCAACCAAGATAACAACAAACAGTTCTAGACGAACAAGTAATCCGGCACAGCAAAAAAAAAAAAGGAAAAAAAATGAAAATAAACAACAGCGGGTGGTATGTCCTGTTGTGTTGTACTAAGCGGGTCGAGGCGTGGGAGTCACTTGCCCTTCAGAGGATCAAGAGTTTATTCAGAATTGTTAACAACCTACATATTTATGTGTAAAGTATGAATATAGTAATTAGCGTGTGGTGACATCTTCAAATAGATTTGACTCAAACTGGATTAGTAATGATGTAAAACACTGGCGAATACCAAAGGACATTCACAGCTCTTCACTATAATGTACTTGAAGTTTCATGGTCCTTTTCTATTGTATGTCATGAATATGGGTTTACAGCCAGTACAGTATACTCTTTTCAACTTATTCGGGCAGACGGTGCGGGTAATCAATGATCGGAAAGGGTGCAGGTATACAACATATGGGTTCACCTGATGATTCGCCCCCACTACTTATTTCTTTTGGGCGAATATTCAGGTGATCCCAACATATACTAGACAGTGCAGGTATACAATGTACATATATAGTGGAGGCATACAAACACCAGCAAACAGTTATTCGGTATGCAGACGGATAATCCAAGAAATCCATTGAAGAATCAAAGAAACAGGGTACAGAGGCTATTGTCCCACCTCCCTTGTACCGGGTACGTGCATCATACGCTTCTAACACGTATTGTACATAACAAACTCCTTCACCTCCCCTTACTTGTGTACTGTGAGTAGGTAACATGGATATGACCTCGTTTCTGGAATATTTGGCGACGTTTATATTGGTTGCTTACAAAGAGTCTGTTAACATGCATTTCAGTTTCATTTTTCCCCATATTATCGACTAACAATTTTGAAAAGAGTTTCATAGGTGGTAGAAAACTGACTGATCGGATGACTGCTTACTTCCGTCTCCCCTCCCAACACAAGACGATGGCTTTGTAATTCAGAATTTTGATCAAGCAAATCCCAAGGAAATAACATCTTTGTATAATAATGCCTATTCTGTATTATGAACAGTGAGTCGCTAAGACTATATATTGTACGATTTAGCGTAACACACACTAAACATATGCAACATTTATGGATCCTCGAGTTCACGTACCGTTTAACAACATATGGCGTTCACTTCTGGCCAAAACCAATGTACATTTAAACCTGTCGGGTGAGGAGGGAGGGGTAGGAGAGCCACCAGAGAGCGGCGGCGGCAGTGTGGTCGACCGTCACACGATACTCACCTAGACCTGCTTGCAACCCAAAACCCGCCTTGCTTGTGGCACTCAACGTGTACACCAGACATACTCGCTGCACCTAAGACTAGAGTAGAGTATCTTTGCACTGTACCTTCCTCCAAAGTTGGAAAATGGATAACCAACTCGGAAGGCTTTATTGATTCAAATTCGAAATTATATATTAATTCATGAAAGTTTAATTAAAAAATCTTGATGTACATAAGATACATAAATAATAAACACTGATTTATTTTTTAAATAAGTGAAAACGTAAGTTATTAAAATGGTATAAATTTACCGTATAAGTGCATGAAATATGACTTAAAGTTTGCCGACAACCAAAAACTACAAAATAGACATTCTATTTAAGGATCGAGTGAGAGAATGTTGTAGTTTTTTCTTTTCACTGAAAATTGGCTACAAGTAATCTTATTTAAGCTAAATTATGCAAGACATTCTCCAAAATGACTTAATTAATAGGACGACGAGGAAAACTGTTTAACATAGAAACAACATGACCAATACATGCGAGTTGAATTACTGAATCTAATCATTTAATTTCTTTCATCTTGCTGCCTGCAGTCATTTTGAACTTTGTCATGAGGACCACATTAGAAATTAAGTATTACTTGGTAGCACAAGTAATAATTATACGTATGTCTTATTCTAGGTGCATGCGCTATATGAATTTTTACCCAATAAATTAAAATCAAATAAACAACACTGACAAGAGTGAAAATTTCAATTTCATTCATTGTAAACATAACTTATGAAAACAAAAGAAATATTATAGTAGTATCCTAATACATCTCTCGGACAGATCATGATGCCCAAACCCACACACGGTACCTCGTCTTAGCCGTGACCGCCCTACTTACGTAAATGAGCACACTGAATGGGCATATAATTAGCGGTAAACCATGCTGGCATATTCATAATGTGGTTTACTGTCCACAAGTCAACGCACTATAAGAGCTCAACATTTACAGTAAACCGGAAGCCTTGAAGTCAGCCTACCTTGAAGTAGGTGTAAAACCCCGCTATATGGAAGTTCCACGCGACAATGAGGCACTACTTCCGTATTTTTAGGAATTCCTTTTCTTAAGCATAATAAGAGAAAATAATATCAACCAAAAATTAATTTTAAACATTTCAAACATATGAAACAAACACGGGCGCACTGCATTAAAATCTCTCGCCCACACCAGGGCCATCTCCCGCTTTCTCACGTCTTGTGTCACCCACACTCATTAAGTCACCAATGTATCACACACCAAACCCTATCCACTTATTTCTCTGAAATTCCGCACTGTGGATGACAAACGAGGTTGTGGATATAGTGTAAACAACTGTACATAAACCACAAGTCACTACCATGAACTCCAAACTGAACACTTCCTTTTTTAAATGCACGTCGATTGGGAATCACTTAATACAATAGTTTCCAGTTCAATAACTCGAGTTTTCTGTTATAATCAGACACCGATAAAACGAAACAAGGAGGCACATATACACTACCTTAACCACTACATTATGGTCCGAGGTTGAAAAGAAGAGAAATATCCAGTGCGACCATCCCCTCACTCGGCTATGTGTCATCTGAGGCGCCGAGCCCCACACAGGCTGGTCATCACCGTCCTCTCGTTTTCTCATCCTCTCCTCTGACTCCTCTCATAGAAAACGATAATCAGCTGGTTTAACAAACATTGTCTCCTGGCCGAGGATTGGAATCATCCGGCAGCTGCACCAGGTGAGCAAAATCTGCATATTTTTGTGATATTTCTGAAAATGGTGAATATTTATAGACACGAAATATTTCCTGTTAGGTTAAAGAATTAATTAATTGCATGCTTAAAGATTGTCAACTAATATGGAATGTTTTATTAATCATTAGTTGGAGCCGCCACGGACGGTGAATCTATTTTTATTGCAGAGATTGTGCAGACGATAGTAGAGACTTTAACCTTAATTTATCCAATATTTGTTTTATGAGTTATTATGTTAGCTCTATGCTTGAAGTAATTTGCTTGTTCCACATTTAGTTTTGTAAAAATAAAGAATAGTATAGAGGTTGATATGAGGGAACAAAGGCAGGGTAGTGCTGCATGATTTGCTTGTTATGTCACCATGACTTGTTGCACAAATTTAATTTAGCAATACATTGATGGAATTCTCGTTTATTCAAAGCATCACATACTAAAATCATCTCCACGACTTTTTTATTGGAGTGTATGTTAATGCATGAAATAAATCTTTTGGGGAGCAGGGAAAATGAGTGTAGTATGTAGTGTAGTATGTAAGAAATATATTTATTCTTTTTGTGAAACTCTTCAGTTTTTCATCAAAACTGATTGAATGAGGTTACTGAGTAAGGTGTTTAAGTCAGTACAGTATACTGTATCTGTCTTACACCAACAAAACCACTTTACCCTTTCAAACTTTACTGAACTTTTTAAGGCAATAGTTTGGAATACTTGCGCAGGTAAAAAAAAACAAAAAACTGTTCTCTATAGAAGACAACTTTTTCTTACCACAAGAAAATCCCTAGAAATGGTGAATTACAGTTTTAATATCATTATTTTGCCAGAAATTTTTGTTCAGAACATTGATGTATGTCCACTCACAATGTTCCACTGATACCATTTTCATTGTTTACATGATAACCATTTCATTCTCAAATGATTCCTTCCAAGCGACCGTTCCGTGCACACAGACTGCTACATTATATGATTTACTGGAGATAAGAACGATTAACTGAACCTACAAGACCTAGGGTAGAAGTATATTAGTATTAGATTAGGTTATGGAGGTAGGTTGTGTTAGGTTAGGTATACACGTACATTATTGACAGTTTGTATGGGAAGGTTACTGGGGAGTTTTTTCAACAGATCAAGTGCTACAAATGACATTGGCTGTATGTGACAGATGGAAATCCATTATATATAATAAGAACTATGGAAAAAAATACGGTCAATTTGTAGTTTTGACCAACCATGGCTCTCGAGTTGAGCAAAGTGTTTTGCCGATGGTTTAAACAATTTTCTTCTAAGACATTTCCCTCGCAAATGACTTAAATATACCTGGAGATCCCCCAATTAGGAGGTTAGGTTAGGTAATTTTAGGTCATTGCAAGGGAAACATCATAGAAGAAAAGTGTCTTAAATTTTTTTAAACCATTGGAAAAACACATTGCTCAACTCGAAGGCCATGGTTGGTCTAAACTACAAATTGATCAAAAATACAAATACTGTATTATATTGCACTTCCTCATTCATTGGAATTTTCTTAAATTAAGAAATGAGTTGTCGACTATAAATTTACTTGAAAGTTGCTGGCTTACCTGTGCTGGTGTTCCAAAGTACAGTATTACCCATTTTAGTTGGAAAAATGTTAGTCATCAAAAATAATACAGTACATATTGATTGTGGAAGGAAAATACTTTTAAATGATTTTCATTCAAGTTGGAAGTTGCACTTGAGCCACATGTGAGTGGTCATACAGACCTATGAGTTTGATTACCGTAAATCATTACTGAACAATTTCGGAAAATAGGAGAAATAGCTGTGGTAAATTTGATAATTACCCTCTTTTTTCAGCAATGCTCAGTGGCCTGATCCTGCTAATATTAAATATCATTTGGTGATGATTAGATTTTCCAGATGGTACAAAGCCCCCATAGGTGAATGGCATGCATACTGTACTGTACTCACTGTTGCAGCACAATTGCAACTTAGTTACATTTTTTAATGAAAATGAGTTTATTTTCTTTCCATATAAAAAATATACAAATATGGCTATAACAACTTTCCACCTTTAAGGTCAAATCAAATATTAAAGGATGAAGTGTGCAAAGTACTGTAGAGTACAGTATACGGTCATAAGGTCACCTTATACTATGTTAGTGTAGATTAGGTCAAGTTGTGACTTGTATTGTCAAAACTTATTTAAGCTGTAGGTCTATCATCCCTGCCTCTGTGGTGTTCACATGACTTGGATGAGTTTCATGGAGAATTTCAACTCTCTTTAATTTATCAAAAGGTACAGGACCTGGCAGAAGTTGTAAAAAAAAAAGAGTAAAAGGAATGTTCAATGAAGGACGTTCATTAGACAAAATTTTAGTTAATTCCGTCTGATCTACCCAACCATACCTAATATTGTATAAACTAGCTGAACTTGGTCTGAAATGATGGTTTGTTTTCTCTGGATGTTTCACTTAATTGTTCTTTTTTAATGCATAGACTAAATTTAGTGGAGGAACAAGGAAGAAAATAGCTCTTCACTTTATCTTGGACATAGAAAATAGGCCATGATACAGTATCTGTGCTTTTTGTATGTATCAGTGTATACAGTTGATTTACTACAGAGTATGTGTATTAGTTATTATTTTTGTCATATACATACAGTACTCTGAAGTAATACAGTATGTGATGATTTTTTTTTCCTTGACAGGACTCCCTACAACCTGTTAAGGGTACAGTGAAAAATCAAGATGGCAGCATCAAGTAAGTGGGCAGTATTGGTCATTATCAACTTTCTGTATTTGACTTGTGACTCACAACAGTAAGCAACCTGCCAACATATTTTTTAAACAACCAGAACCATGTCACTGTTTGTTGTACAGGTACAGTACATGTAAAATGTTGCCATGAATGTGTTCGTTTTATAATCTATGCCAGATGATCAGTAAATATTAACCTCAGACCCCCAAGGCCCAACTTGTGACTGGGGTCTAAAAGCTGAATAAATTTAATACACTACAGTACAATACCCTAAAACAGATTATCAAAATTGGGTTGATTTAAGTGAACTTCTTGCCAATTAAATTAATTAACTGGTACTGTATCTTGTTCAATTTTGATATACAGTACTGTATGGGTTAACTAACTGGGTAATTGAAATTTCCCCAAATTAATTTATAACTGAAACTGTAACAGTGGATCTCTCCCAGTGGGTGAGCTGAAGGCCAATGTACAACAGCCAACTTTATTCTTGTGGTAATGATGTATACATCTGTTGTACAGTCATACAAAGAAACAATAAGTGCCAATGGGGGGGGAGCTGATTTGTATATTTTCCATCATTTAGCATACACCACCTCCAGGTTCTAATGCTCTTTAAAGGTGGGTCACAGGTACTTGACTGAGTGAGGAACTGCATGGGGTGGTAATGTCAGTCGTTGCATCCTAATTGCGGCAACCACTCCAAAGCCGACCCAGTACGTGGCACCTGTCAGACTCCTGTGCACACACACGTTAAATTTGGGGAGGCATGGAAATACTGCTCACTGTGCCCCAAACTCACCGGCTCCCCCCTCCCCTTCCCCCAACAAAGGTGTGAAGGTGTGCCATGTGGGGACAATGGGAGCGGGAGGCAGTGAGCCTATGAGTGCATACAGCGCTAACAATAACCTTCAGTTAATTTTAAATAGGCCTCCTTTAAAAAAATGGGGAGGTTCAGGGAAATGTCATTTAATGAGCATATGTGTGTGGACTATGGATAAAACAGTCATTAATGTAAGTTGTTTCCATAGTTTGTCAGCAGGCTGCACGGAGATTTTGAGGACATTCTGAAAAGGTTTGCTAAAGTGACATGGGGCTAAAAATTTTCTTCGGGGGCAGGCATAAACACTTTGTCTTGTAATTATAGATTAACATTTTATGTTACATTGTTGGATAATTCAAGACTTACAGAATATTATAAGACAAAAAATCAACATTGAAAACTTACAGGATTGGAGTACTGTACAGTACTGCAATTAGTGATATACCTGTACTGTAAAATGTATGCGTATACTGTATGCAGTTTTTTGAAAGGTCACTAGCACAACTAAATCATTGTCCCAAAATTTTGACCCAAGAACCTTGAAGGATTAAAAACTTCCAGCACACTCTATTTATCTTTACAAATTAAGCCCCACTAGACTCAAATATGGATTATAATGAATAATACGAGACATTACGGAACTTTACTACAATGAGATTAATTATGTATATGTAATAATGCATAACAGCTTTAAAAAAATTTACATAACAGTCTAGGGGAGATTTTTACATAAAATTTCTGTCTTATACCAGGAGTAAAGGTGATTTTGTAGAATAGATTGGTAGATTATGTGAAAAAATCCTACTCTGTACATTGGACTCAGTAGGTAAGATGAGAGGAGAGTGATTAGTAGATGCTGCATAAGGAATTAGAATTCAAGAAGAAAGAGGAATATCAACTAATGAGAACTATGTGGCTATAGGAATTGAGTGTCTGGAATTGATCACTTTTAAGAATTATCCCCTTCACTACAGTAACACCACTTTTAGTATTTTATTTGGCTAATGCCAGATAATTTTGTTCAGCTCAAAGGCTACCCTATACACAAAGGGTTAACAAAATTATTGTGAAATCAAAGATCACACTAAATGTTTTTGTAGAATGTACCAGATACTTGTTTGTTTATAAATACCAAAAATGGTACTTATCCATAAAATTTATTCTCACCAGAATTACGTCTTGCTCTTATCCAAATGGCTGTTGGAGAAACCAAATCCAAAAACGTTGCTCGAGCTGTACAGTTGATAAGGGAAGCTGCCGGAGGAGGAGCTCAAGTGGTGGCTCTTCCTGAGTGTTTCAACTCCCCTTATGGACCAAGTAAGGATTCTCTAGAATGTCTCTGTGTACTACTTATGGTACAATATCATCCAAATATGAGACTACAGTATTGTATATACTATACCCTTTAATACAGTGCTTAAATTGGCTATGGTAAACAATATAGCCAGTTTTCTTTCTTTTTATCATTTAAGATTACTTTCCACAATATGCTGAGGCTATCCCTGGAGAGAGTACTGAAGCTTTGAGTGCTGCTGCAAAAAAGTTTGGAATCTTTGTTGTTGGTGGGTCCATACCAGAGCGTGAAGGTGACAAGCTCTACAACACCTGTACTGTCTGGGACCCTCAAGGAGAAATGATTGCTAAACACAGAAAAGTAAGTCATATTTTGGTACCTTCATGTGGAATTTTAAGAAACTGTGCAGCAATTATTTACTTAATCTGTGAAGATTTAACCAAGTCACTACTGCAAAATGTAGATGCTTATCTAAACTATCTTTAATCTAATGAACACTCTTAATTGAAATGTACCTTATTGTACTGTGCATTTATATTTCCACCATGTTGTCTCACTTTCAGTCTTCTTCTCAATTCACAACCATTAGGAACACCATAACACACCTGAGTTTCTTATACCGGTACATTATGTTACAATACTTCACGCTCTTTTTGTACAGTCTGATTCCTTCCCTTTTATCTGTTTACTTCTTGTTACTCTTATGAAGTGTACTGTATCTGAGCTGTGTGTAGAATACCTTCAGGTTAAATTTCATACCTGGATGGTCATATGTGCTGCATTCAGAGTTTTATTTTGATGTTTAACACTTACTTACTCACTTATCATTTGAATACTTTGCATCTTCCACTCACTATATGCACACATACACACAAAAAAAAATTTTATATGCTCATTTGTCTATAGCACTCGATTACAGAATGCTCCTACCTGTATAATTATTCTCATTTCTCTATCTTAATCCAGTTGGTCATTTTTCAAACCAAAAAAAAAAAATTGTGGTTCATGTACAATCTAAGTCTTGCTTTGTGGTGCTGCATAAAGACACAAACATCCTCCTATACTGTACCTTGTTCTTCTCAAACACATGTACAGTACAGTGCGCATAAGAAGGCCATTCAAAGAATCACCGATGAATGGATACACTTGGCTGAGTGATAAGTTATTCTTTACACATAAGACTGAATATACCCATCAGAGAGTTGCTAAGGGCAGTACTATCTGGAAAACGAATATCTTGAAGGTGAGAATTAAACTAAGGATAGAGAGAAATTTCTACTGGAACTAAAACTGGGGAATACTGTACTGCAGATGAGTGAGTAGTGTGTGGGTATGTTTTCCTTGGTTTGCAAGCATATGAGAGATACTCGGTACAGGTAACCCTTGTTTAGCATTCATTCGCTTAATGGTAATTCGGTTTAGCGATAAAAAATATTTGACACCTTTCCTCACTTAATGTTGGGTCAAAATTTAGTTTAGTCAAAATTTAGTTTAGTGATAGCTTGACTTATCGGGAAGGGAAAAAACTGGGAATGAGGTGGCTTATGTGATGGCATGTTGCCATTGTCACTGTAATGAAACTATAAAAGTTGTGGGAAAATTATACAATATATAAATATAAAATAAGAAAAATGAAGAGCACGTGTGTGTGTGTACAGCATTACCCCGGTTAGTGCTCCTCTGTAGAGTGCTGTTTCATTATAGTGCTCTTGCTTGCATCTTGGAGCTGTAGTTTTACTTGAAATTTTTTTATAAAATCTGTAAAAGAAGTCAAAAACCATGAGTTCAATCTCTCTCAACATGACGAGAGCAACTCTGTTTAGTGAGTACACCATGACTACAATTGATTATTAAAGGTGTTTTATAATTTTATATTAAGTGTAGGTCTTATTTTATGACATAAAATTGTGTTTGGTTAACTGAAGCACAAGTGCGTGGTGGCGGGTGTGGTGACTGGTTGAAGATCAGCTGTTGAGGAATGCATGGCAACACACACACCGTGCGTGTTACCACCCCTTTCCACTCCATATCTCTAATCACCCCCACCTTTCTGCTTTCTCACTCCATATTTTAAAATGCTATGTAACATAATGTTGAAGGGATACAACGTTGCTCATTTATCTTTACACTCATTTTGTGGGTGGACATCAGCTGTTCAATAGCATCTGGAAGTACTGCAGCTAGTGTTACCAAAGAAACCAATAGATGCATCATCTCCTCACCACTTACCACAATGTACCTCACCACCACCACATCCATCATCATCATCACCCCCATCATCACTCCCCCTATCATCACTACTACCTCTATTATCACCACTTAAATCATAATTTTAGTGATGCAAAGATGAATTAACTTCCCGCCTTCCACCCACTGCCACTCTCACTCATTTTACTATGACTGTCATTCATGATACAATATTGTGAAGTGCTGTTCATTGTTTATTTGTTATTTGGTAATTAGTAAAGATACATTACTGTAATACAGTAATCTGTGTTTATTAATACTGTACCAGAACCCTTCACATACAATACTGTATACATCTCATAGGTAAAAAATATGTCATCAGAAATGTATTTCCATATATGCAATGGTATAATGACCCCGTAGAGCGCTGTTTCGGATAGCGCTCCATTTTCCAGGAACATATCCTGAGCACTAATCGGGGTACTGTAAAACTGTATGTGTGTAAAGTGAACTTATGTGTGGAGGAAGTGGGCAGTAATTGTGTCACTGAATCACTACCTAGCTGCTCTCCCTCCCCAATGTGATGTTACTGCATACACACAGCACAGCAGACACACACACACACACGTACGTCTCTTGAGTCAACTTGGTGGCTGCCCAGCTGAACTGTGTCACGTCGCTGAGAGGATGGCTTGAGTGTGGAAAGAGCTATTTTTTTACATAAAATATGTGTTATTGTATCTTATGATATGCTATGTATCAATTTTATTATGTTATGTATCAATTTTATGATCATTACAAATTTTTCACTTTTGATGGATGCAATTTGAAATTTGTTTGAATTGGGATAACCTTTGGCTTGCTAAATTGTTCCTGTAAACCACATCATTTATATAGAAGTTTTGTGTTAATAAATCAATCGTTTAACTTCAAAACTGTTTATAACAAACTCATATTATTATTATTAGGGAGTATACTGTACTGTACTGTACTCAGTGTTTACTGCCCTGCTGTTTAAGCCTGTTGTATGCCCTCCGTGCTTTGCTGTTATCCTTAGTTTAGCCATAATTTTTCATAACGTTAGATTTTTCAGGAAACCAACCCCATCGTTAAATGAGGGATACCTGTATATTGGTTTGTTTTTTGTCTTTTCCTTTGTTGATATACAGGTACTCCTCGACTTACGACATACTCGAATCACGACAACCCGGACATACGACCGCCGTGGTCGTATAAAATATTTTTCAAATTACGTATTTTTGAGTCCTGACATTTGTGATCACGCTGTGTACTGACAACATTTTTGTTTGTAATTCCCTTTAAAATGGCTGGCAAGCGTAAAAGTGAGAGTTCTCGTAGTGCTGAGAAGAAAGAGAGACACCCATTTTAGAATTTCTATGTTTTATTTTCGCCTTCTCGACTTAAGACCAATTCGACTTATGACCTGGTCGCCGGGACGGAACCCTGTCGTAAGTCGAGGAGAGACTGTAGTAGTGTACCTCCCTGCTCTTGTGTCATATTTCTATTCTTAATTGACATCACTTCCAAATATTTAAAATCTAGAATCTCATCCAGTAATGAATTTTCAAGTTAATTTTATACTGTACAGTAAGTCCGCGCTTAACGTTGTTTCGGTACTATTTCGCTAAACTTTAGAGACCAAAAATTCGTTTAACGTCCCGGTGATCTGATACTATGTCGTTTTGCGTCATCACAGACTACATTTTACGGTGCATCACCCTCTCTCGTCTGGCCACGCTATGCTCTCTCAGCTTGACGCAGAGTCTCAGTGACTCACCACCCTCCTTTGCTTCCGCCATACTCCTCCCCACCCGCCATCCGCCTCCTCCGCTTCACTACCTACCACACAGTCGCTCTACCACCTCCGCCCATCGGTGAGTACCAATACAAACTTAGTAGTTGTATATGAATGCATTATTTTCTATAGAAATGGCAATGATTTTCTGTACTGTATATGTAATGTATTTCATGGGGCAAAGGGAGGCTCAGGAACGTAACTCCCGTATTTTATCTACTATTTCTTATGGGGAAAATTGATGGAAAATTGATCCACTTAACGTTGTGTTTTTAGGAACGTAACCCCGACGTTAAGTGAGGATTTACTGTATATAAAGTTGCAATGTTTTCTATTCTGGATGGTTTACCAAAATCTAATATGTCAGACTCCTTAACTTTGGGTGTGCATGTTGACAACAAACTGAAGTTCTTGGACTGTTGTGAAAAGAATGTAAATGAATCAACGAAGATATTTGTCTCATAAGAAGGGCGAAAAACCATTCCTGTACCTTACTCTGTCCCGCTGTCACCTCCAGTTCCCTTCACACATACTCTCAGTAGAATGCTTATAATTTTTAGATGACATAAAGATTAAGCAACTCAGCTTATTTCAGCAGGTAGCACTAGGGTGATTAATCATGAGATGATATAAGCTGGGGTGTTTAATCTTCATGTAATCTTCATTTTCTTCTCTCTGTGTTTCACCATTATGGTGGGGCACTGTTCACTGGGTGGCTCAGTTGTACACTGGTGGATTTAGGGTTTTCTTCAAAATATTTCTCCCAAATAAGTGCAGTTACTGTACATGGTGACAGGAATGTTGTTGACTATTTACTAAGAAAGGGATTTTAATGTTTGGTATTATTTTACTTTTGACCAACACGAGAATCTTAGGAATCTTATCTTTGCAATCAATAGTTTAGAAAATTCTAAGACACTTTTCTTCGATGACATTTCCCTCGAAAATGACCCTTATATGCTAGGGGTTCAGGTGGCGAAGCCCCCTGGTCAGAAGGTTGGATGAGGTAATTTTTAGTTCATTTGCGAGGGAAATGTCATAGAAGAAAAGTGTCTTAGTATTGTCTAAACTTTTGATTGCAAAGATAAAATTCCTAAGATTCCTGTGTTGTCCAAAAGTAAAAGTTTGCCTAATGTTCATTTTATTACAGAAGGTGAAAACTGTTTTGGTATCATTGGTGTTATATTTTCTTACTTGGGTGTTTCAGTAGAGAAATTTATACGGTAATATATTGGCATCCTATAAGTGCTCCTTTGCTCGACCTTTCAGGGAGTCCTTTAAGATTGATGTTTTTTCATTGACATTGAAAGATCTTACTTAATCCTTAGTTTAATGAGACCTTTCACATTGTAACAGG